AAGCAGGTGCACACAGCTTTGATTTCTGCCTCACAGAAGTGCAGGTGCTGTAAGATGCTGTCCATGGGACAGTCTGCAGGGACCAGCCACAGAACTGAGGGGCTGGCTTTGGTACTGTTCAAAGAGTGACAAAGCAACAGTCGCAGTCCTGAGGAAAACTGCTGGGCCCTCGATTTTGGAATGTACACCTCTGGACCCTGTCCACCTTCCAGCTTTGCTGCTGTTTAAGCTCTCTTACAGAGAACCCACCACTGCTGAGCTTCCACAGCCTTGGATGACACCAAAATGGGAGCTATAGAAGCCATCCATCCCCTTGATGCAGCTCCTGCAGCACCTGCAGCTCCTTGCCCCCTTCAGTAGGGCACATGGGTGATCAGGATCAGGTCACAAACAGCAGCAGTGCACATGCCTTCTTGCCACACATCCGCATTTTTAAGCTGTTTGAAGCAATTCTGCACTTACTTTCTCCATCTCCTCTAAAGCTGAGCTTTTAAAAGCTCTCCAAAGTGGTGTGTTGCTACAGGCACCACTTCTGGACTCATGGTGAGGATGTCCCATGCCACTGTGTCCATCCAGACAGCTACTGGCACTAGAGGAAACAGCAAGAGGGACAAGCTACAAAACCTGCCTGCTCCAGCTGTGCTGCCTGTGAGACACCAAACAAAATGTCCAGCCACACTATACATCGAGCAATACAGTACACAGACTCCCTTTTGGGGTTGTGACATTAATAATGCTGCCTGAAAGCTGCCCTGAGCACTTACTGTTTCCATCTGCCTCCTCTGAAGTTGGGATGCTGCAGCAGCAGAGCACATCCCCGCTGGAAACTAAAGGAGGCTGCCAGGGAAACACATGCAGCCCTTCCAAGCCCAACAGACATTTTTAAGCACAACTCTACTACTTTCAGAAAACCAGCCCTAATTGTTCTTATCCTGGTAAAGCCTCTCCGAGCACAGCACTGCCCCACAAGAGCTCAAATAACTGCATGGAGGGAGGGGTCTACCCCATTGCACCCACTGCAGCCAGGCTCAGCAGCAATGCAGTACCCGAGTGAGATGACTTAGACATAACATTTGCAAGTACAATTTCAGGAATAGGGCTATTCCTATTAGAACCTGGGCAGAAAAACAGGGTTAATGCCCTTGTTATCTGGCTAACCATATTGCTGTGCTGGGCACGGTCTGTCCAGTGATACTGGCCAAGCAGGGATGCTGCAGCACTGGGAGCTTGCAGGAGCAGGACACGCCACGGTGACAGAGAATTAACCAGCCACTATGGAAAACCTGGCTTTATTCCTTACCACAAGCATCAGGAGGTGACTTCTCCCTCCCCAAGTCACTTGATCCCTCTCCTGGATGCAGTTCACCTGTCCAAGCCAGAGTGCTGCAGCAGGAGAGGGGCTCACCATAGGGATGAGGATGGAGCAGCCTCGTGGCTCTGCTTCCTGTGCAGCACCACATCCCAGGTGATGGGCTGACACAGGCTGCTCCCTGCTACTCTGGCTGCTGAACCTGACACTGCTCCAGGAGGCCAGAGCTGAGGCACACATGACTCATTTATAAATTATATACTAAAATTATACCCTGCTTTTTTTTTGTATTCAAATATTGTCAAGCAGAAATTCCGCAGCAATTTGCTTTGTTTCTTTGATCATGGGATTGCTAGTCTTCTTTCCTTGGGGAAAAACATGCCCTAAAACCAAACAAATGCTGCACTGGAAGTAAAGAGCCCACTCCTTTGAAACCTCTGGAGAGACACTTACAGCTATTAGAAGACACACACTCATCCCTAAAAACCAAGGCTGTCCCAAACTGTGATGCTGAAGGACACCAGGAGGCCCTCAGCAATCCCAGACTGTGGTTTCACAACCTTGCAAATATTTTCCAAACTCCTAATCTTACAAATAAGTAGAACAGGCAATCACTATCAGCATGTGAAAACAGAGCTTTCTCTGCCAGGGCTGGGGCAGCTACTGATATATTCCAACCCTGCTCTAGGACAGCCACTGCTTTCCACTGACAGCGCTCCATTTATTCCCGTCACTTTGGTGAAGCCTCCAGCTTTCCCTACCACTGACTCAAACTCTTGTTGGTTTTGTAGATCTGGAATAATCCCTTTGGCCTCATGGCAGCAAGCAGTGTGAACCCTGCCTGCATATATCGGATCTGAAGTGGAATTGAAGTCCTGTTGTCAAATTCTATTCCAGAGCGCCAGTAGGATCCTGTAATCCCATGGCTCCAAGAGAGCTTTAAGAAAAAACACAAATCTAGTGTGAATCACCATCAAACCACCAGCAATGCCTGGATATCTACCTACGTGGATATTTGGAATAACTTCCAGCAGAAAAGGCACAAGGTGAGTTTTCCTCTACACCTTTCCAAATCCATCTACCTCTACGTGCACGTAAGCCACAAAAACCTCTTAACCTCTCTTTCTGGGTGACAACTGTCATTCTCCTATATGGGGCCTGATGTGATGTTTCTGTTGATAGGAAGTCTCCAACCACCAGCAACAGACTTGGGATCAGGCCCTCTATGAGTGACCTTGGGGACGAGCAGCATTCCAGGTGGGAGTTTGCAGCCTGGGAAAGAAATGTCTCCCAAATGCAGGGTTTGCCTCTCCATCCATCACCCTTTGCTCTGAGCTTCTTCAGCCCGCAGTCTCACTCTGTGGCTGCTCTGAGTCAGCCCTGTGCCACAGGATTGCATTAATTCAGTGTTAAGCCTGAACTAACAGAGCCAGGCTCTCACAGGACTTATCAGCTGGGGCTGGGTGCTGCAGGGGCTCAGCACCTACCCTGCTCCCAGCGGGGCGGTGCTGCGGGTCCAGCCGGCTCTGAGCGCGAGAAGAGCTCGCCCGTGTCCGCTGACAAAACGAACGCGAGCCTCGTAAGAAGTACGCCTCGGAAAGCCTGGAAATCTGACAGCTTTTTGTGCTGTAATAATGCAATTCAAAAGACTATCGGGATTGTATAAATATTTGTACAGACACTTATCGCTGGAGCAGTCAGATACTCGGGCCCCCTGCATCAGCTGATCGGCTTAAAGTCCTCGCCTCCTCTGCTAAACCAAAACCGTGCAAGCCCAGCATCACCATCCCCACAGCGAAACATAAAGCCTCTGTTTATATAAATAGTCTCCAGCCTCTACCCTCCCTACTTGCTGGGCGGTTTTCAGCAAAATAAAAAGTGGGATCGGATTCCCAGCCCACTAAAAAAGGACAGGAGCAGGATGTATGTTTTAGCCACTGAATTAAATAATTATTTTTAATACAATGAATGCTCCCTAGGAAATGTTTGTACTTTGCCACTGTAATTAAATATTCTCACTCATGCAGCTCTCAGCCTTCAGAAATTAGTATTGCATTTTATAGTCCAGTTCAGGGTTCTTTTAATAAGAAAATACTTTTTCACTTTTTCACTTTCTGCTGGCATGGAAAGGCAGAAGAAAGTCTCTGAACATCCATGCCCATCTGCCTTTCTGAACAATTTCAAATACTTTTTTTTCAGTGGCGTAGAGTTTTCAAACTGAGAAGTCCTGTGTCGGTTTTGCTCCAGTACAAGCTCATAAATTGGTGAACAAAATGGGTCCCATCACTGTGGTTGCCTTGCTCTGCACTTCTGCTGCTGCTGCTGTTCCCATCCCTGTGAGCTAAGCCACTGGTCTCTTTATGAGCATGTACCTGTGCACAGCTGTGGGGAAAAAATTGCTCAAGAAAGGACTCTCCAAGGACTGCAACACCTCACCCAAACGAAGGGCTGGTTTCTAATCCCTTTACTCAAGGTCTGTTTGCTTCAGCCAGCTGCTCACAGAAAACAGGCAGCAGAATCCAGCCCTCTGTCTCCGTGAAATGGGTCAAAGACACGTAGGATTACTTCTAATTTGGAAAGAAAGCACCCAAGACATAATGTAATTCCACCACAAGATTTTATCACTCTTACTCACAATGAGCAAATACCAGGGGAATCACTGAGCAGAGAGCTCAGAAGGAAACCAGACCCAGCTCCTTCCTGCCAGAGCCAACCAGAGCCACCGCCAAAGCCACGCAGCCCCAGCTCCTCACCTGGGTAACTAACCACCAGAGCAGGTGAGCCTCACCTGCCTCACCCTCCCCACAAAAGACAAAAAGCGTCAGAGCACGGGTTCAGGGATTTAATTTCTCCTCTTTACCCTCTGATGGATGTGGGCAATCCCTCCGTTTTGCCATCGCTGATTTAGCTAATGCTCAGTTCCAGCAGGAAACATCTTAACTCTCAAGATCTGGTGATTGCCCCAGCAATCAGTTGTTCAAATAGTTGAAAATTAAGACTATTGCACACAAAGTAAATTAAGTAATTTTCTACCCTCCTAGGGTCTCCCAAGTCTATCAGATTTCCCACAACTGGTATGCCATGATGCCTCATTACTGTAAAGAAAATACAGCTCTGTGAGTCCTTTAAGTGGTTTACCCTCAAAGACTTGGGGAAAAAAAGATCTTAAAAAACACAGATCCCCCTGCAAATGTAACAGAAGACCATCAGCAGAGATTGTTTATTGGCTCCTGCACTCAACTCACAAGGCCTAGGCCGTGTAAACCTCAAAAGAGTGTTTGCAGCTGTTCTCTACCACACCAGCTCAGTCACCTGAGACAAAAACTGACACAAAGACAACTTTGGTTTTGTTTGCAAGGATGGCAGCAGAATCAGGGCTGAAGAAGATGCTCTCCAACCCAAAAAGACTGCAGTCTAATCCTAAAACAGGTACCACTTCAGCATCCTTAATGCAGCAGTCCGACATCTCGATCTCCTTCCTTAAATAAGGCAGCTTTTAGGCCACAACTGATTATTTTGAAATGAGAATTTTGAACTGAGCCTGCAAACACTCCTACTGCAATGCCATGGGATGTTCTGTTAGCTTTAGTCATTAAAACAAGCCTTCAGCACGGGGATGTTGCTGTGCCGCTTCCCAGGATCTCCCTGGATCCCTTCCACCCTGGCTGCAGCATCACAGAGAGGTTTTGTTCCCAAGCCCAAACAAGCTGGAATCATTCCCAAGCGTTTGGAAACCTTGAGCCCAGCAATAAGCACTCGGCATTACGGTAATCACCTGGTGGAGGCCACTCCAGCTTCAGTTTTATGTTGTGACTTTCATTGAAAGTCCTCTGATTTGGACTATCTTTTTTTTCATTGCAGCACAAGCTCTCCCTAGTTGGTCTTAAGCCAGAGGTGAGCCTTTGTAAGATGAAAAAATATAAATCCGTCACTTATTTTCAGCTAAAAGGAGAGGAGATGAGAAAACCCCACTGATAAGAGCTTTTAAAGACAGTTAGTCACAAGTTACCAAAGGAGGGGACAAATAGCCACCCCATGTTCAAATGTGTATCACTCCCTTAATAAATCATCACTGTATAGACTGGTGGGGAAAGTAAGAGGGCAAGAAAGCAAATGCTATTAACACAGGTGAATATTTTAGTATGTGCATCAAAGCCTGTCCAGCAATAGCTTTGTGCTGTTTTTTCAGCAGAACTTGACCCATGAGGCCAAACCCCACCATGAAGGTCCATCAAGACACACAGGGAATCCTCCTTTGATCCAAAAAATGGAGAAGAAATGGGAGCTTTTGCCAAAATACCATCCATGACTGCCAAAAATGCCAGATTCACTGAAGGCACCTCGACTTGAGAACCCACATTTCAAAGTTACTCATGCTTTGGCAAGGGGCTGAAAGCACACATCAACCCTTCAAGAGCAGAGGGAAAAACTCCACACCTCAGTTGACCATCCCAACCCAGATAAACACAAGGAAGGAGAGGCGTCAAGTTCCCACACACAAGTGTGTGCACAAACCAGATGGAAAGATCCCTGTGCTGAGCCTGAAGCAATTTTCCTGGCTTGCATGCAATACAAAGAAATGCCAGGGGCCTGCTTGCCACCACTGTAATTCCAAACACTTCCCACTGCCTGGATGTTTAGGTCTTGTATATCCCCCCCTCTTCCTCCTCCATCCCTCCTGGCATTCAGGCACCCCAAAGGAGATCGCCCATCATGGCACAAGAATGTTGCACAAGCTGTGACTCTCCTCTGGTTACCCCTTATCTCTCCCTGAGCCCCGATAAAAATCCACCTATGACCTCTTGATCCTTTTTATTTTTTGCTTTTGAAACCTCGCTCAGCTCTTGGGATGCTAGAAGAGATCTGCAAAAAGCCCAGGCCCACTCCCACTAGAAATACCATGATTTCAGCATTTTGCTTGGAAATGGGTGCATACAAAAGGCAATGGTGTAAGGAAAACCAAAGAGTGCCAGAGTAGTTCCTCCCATCCTCACCCAACCAAGCCTGCTATTCTTGGGCACTGTCAAACCAAAGGAATTTTCCCTTTCCCTCTCCTGACAATACGTTATTTATACATGTTTACGCTGAGGATTAAATACTCATCCGGGCTGGAGAGTGTGGCTCATTCACAGCTTCTGTTCTCCAGTGGAGCTTCCCCCTGAGCTGCCTTTCCAGAGCTGTTTAGCAACACCCTGGACAGGGAAGGCAGCCCACAGCCAGAACCCACAGGTACAATCCAGTACAGCAGCTGGCAAACTTGGGAAATCACTCAGTGCATGACCACAAGGACTTGGTTTCAGCTGGACAAACGCTTTCTCCACGCTGGCTAGCACAGGACTCTCCTGCCGAGCACCAGCTCACCCCTTATCGCTCTGTTGGGACTCAGTCCTTTATCTCAAAGGGGCTGCTGTTTCCTGATTCCATCATTCTGGATCAGGCCATGCATCCTCCTAACCAGGCCACTCCCCCTGGAAAGAAAGGGGCACCCACAGAGGTTCCCAACAGCAGGGACAGGGCCCAAACCCCAAGCGATGGCAAGCGCAGTACTCATAGTGAAATACCCAATTTCTCCCTCAAAAACACTCAATGGAGTTTCATTTCCCTGCCAGCAGGCTTGAATAACATTTTAAATGCCAAGATTTATATGCAGACACTTATAAATGTATTCCATTATAGCCTTTACAAAACTACATTTCAACCTAAACATTCAATTAATGTAATTAAATTGCTACCTGGCGGTATTATCTAATTTCACTTCGGATCTGTGCTATTGAAAAGCATGTGTCTTTTAGCACTCCGACTGGCAAGACATGTGATAAACAGACCTATAAACATGTTGGCTCAACCGAGCTGTTTAAAAATAAATTAGCAAACTATAAAAATAAACAGTAACATACATATGTACTCAATTATGAACTAACTCTAATTTTTGTTCTGAAATACTGTCTTTGACCTTAGTCATAAACAAGCACTATTAAAAAAACATAATATCTCAACAGACAGAAGGGCAGGGATTAAACGCTCATCGCGCGCGGCAGAATGCAAAATAACGGATGAAAAGAAAGAAGAGAAGAAAGAGAAAGGGTAGGGAGGGTGGGGGGAAGCTCCCCCTTTATTAAAAGCGGCAACCTATACCCACAGCAAGCGTTTATGTTGATTAAAGCTGCTTGGATTCAAGACAAAAAAGTTAAAACCTACTGAAGTGCATATGGGAGAAAACCTTGTGCGGTTCAGCGGGAGGCAAATATCGGTTTAGCTTGCGTGGGAAGGAGGGCAGAGTGGGTCCCACAGAGCCACCCATGGCCTTCAGCTGTCCAGGTGCAAACCCTGCTACCGTCTTGCAGGGATCCAAGAACATATGGCAGAAAGGTGGGAAGTGTCCTCGCGCCCGCCGAGGGGGAAAAACAAACAAACAGATTTTTTGAAGGCTGTAGAGCAGCGTCCAGACCATGTTTTTGCCATTAATTCAGAGCTCCCGTAAGAAAAGAACTGTGCTACAACTGCCAGCACTATTCTGTTTTCTCTGGGAAGGAAGGAAGTGTTGATACTCAAAAGGCACATTTTGCACCCAGGGCTGAGATTTTCAAGGTTTTTAGGCTACACAGGGGGCACCAATGTCTCTCCCTACAGCAGAACCCAAGCCCACATACACGCCCATGAGCAAAACCTCACAACAAACCCAAAATCAACAGCAAAAGTAGTTGAGCAGCTGCTAAGCTCATCCATGAAGAACCAACCTAAGACACTGACTGCCGTCAGGCTGTCTCCCCAAAAAATCTTGTATAAATAAACAATAGGAGGTAACTCATGTTTATCAGGACATGGGCCCAAGAGCAGAGAGAGAGAGGTGAGTGGAAGAGAAGCTTTGCCCCAGGCCAGCTCCTTGCCTGCAGTGAGACATGGAGACTCAGCCCCACAATCAGCCAGGGGCTGACATTTCCACTAACAAGAAGGGCTGCCAGTTGCTGAGACACAAACAAAACCTTCACAAGGCATGTTTCTCAAGGGATGCAACAGGAAGGGTCCATGGGAGACAGCAAGAGCACACATTTTTTTAAATCTTTTTCTTTCCCCCCAAGGACCTCCACACTGGCAGAAGCTGGATGCCAGAGAGCTCCATGCACCAGAGGAAACACCAACTGGATGGTCAAAGAGGGTGGGAACAGAGACAAGCAGGGCTGTGACGGGTCTCGAGGGTGAGTCACCACACAGCCATCAGAGTTGGCACACGCTGCTGCTGTGGGATGCAGCCAATGCCCTCTCCTCCACAGCCCTCAACACTATCAAAAAGAATTTACCTTAATTTCTGAGGCAAGTATTTCCAGTGTCTACACAGACCCCCTTTATTATTCTTTCCCCTTTTTATATTATTTTTTTTGTTTTAGTTCTTCCGGTAAATGTCTACCTCATTCCTCTACACAACTGGATGCTGATGCCCAGGAATGACCATGAATGATCAGTCAAATGTCAACCAGCAAAAGCACCAGCAAAACCCAGAGCTGCTCTCAATGTGGTGATTTTCCCATGGTTCAGCAGCAGGAACATCTCACACTCCTGGACCGACCAGCCCTGGATGTTACACACACGTTTCGGTCCACACCACAGCTATCCCCTCACTCTTCTTCCAGAGCTGGGTATCTCAAACACTTTGTAAGAGCAAAACAAGAAAAACAAGTCCTGTCCAGATTATCTGGTCCTTTCCTCCTTCTCTGGCAAAAATCTTGAAACCCAGCTGTGTCCCAAGGCCAGCTCTCCAGCTCAGAGCATGCCATGACCACGAAGTAATGACAATAAAAAACTCCAATTAAAGCAACAAGTCAGTTTAAAATCAAATGCCATTTTCTGCCCATCCTTCCTGCTTTGTTACCGATAAAAAAACACTTCCAGCCACTATTCATGCAGACATAAAGTGCTAATGGCTACCTGTTAACATGTTTCATCACACTAACATTTTTGCTCCGATTTTGACAGATCCCTTTTTGTTATTTTAAACTAAGGGAGTGCTAATCTGGGCTGGAACTGAAGGCTGCAAGAATTACAATCTACATCAACTGCACAGTTACTGACATCATTTCCTTCCACTGTGCACCATTTCACGGACACAGTTTTCTTGCAGCCAATCTCTTTTCCAGACTATAAGAAGTTGGAAATGCAGGAGCGCAGTTGACTGGGAAGATTGCAAAATGTTGCTGGGAAGTCCTGTGAATTCTCCCCCCAGTCCTGTGCAGTTTAGGGCCAATGGGAGGGGAGACAGCAATGTGAATACCAAAATCCAATGTACTGGAAAAGTCACTTTTAATGTCTTAAGGAGAAAAAATTAAGTGGCCAATCCTGTATGACTTCAGGGATGAGTCTTCAGGATTACAACAGCTGCTGGTGCAAATTGGCCTGGCAAATCCCATCCGATTTACAAGGGTTGCCCTAGGTGTGACTACAGGTGATTCACTGACTCCTCTGGATGTGGAAAGAACAAAACTCCTCAGGTATCACCCCAGCAGTCACTGACACCAGCTGGACATCAGGACAGCTACCTGGTGTCCTCTGCTCACAAAGATGTGCTGGGCACCTTTGCCTGCCTCATGTGAGCACACATTGAGAATGCACCTTCTGACGTCCAGAGTCACAGCAGGTGAAAATCTCGAGTGAAAAAAGAGCCTGGTCCTCTGATTACAGCTCAGGTCAGAGCCACAATCTGATTTTCCACAGGGCAGGAGAGGGACAGAAGCTCCTCTTTGGTCTCCAGAGCTATGGCAGCTCTGCTGAGATCCCCAGTGGTTTTGAGTGCACACACAGGGACGTTTCCTTTCCCCAGGTTTGCAATTGTTTGTTAGAGCAAATGAAGAGTCCTAACAAGACCTACTGGAGCCCATTGCAAGGAGGTTAAGAAACACAACTTATCTGATGCAATCAGCAATGTAATGCAGCCTCCCAAGTCTCTGTTCAGGCAAAATACATGCAAGTAACCAGAAGGGATGGGTACAACCTTGAGGGAAGAGTTGGGGATGCTCCAGCCCAACCCACAATGCTGGAGAGGAAAGACAAGAGAGCACAACAGGGAATAGGAAATTCCCTGCCTGCTCTGTGTCTTCTGCTGCTTCCAAGGGCTTTCACTCTGTACAGACCAGAAAGAGGACACCAGATCTCTGGCCTGACTCCACATGGCTGATTTTCCATCTTTTTTGAAAGAGATTGCTCCACAGTACAAGGAGGTGAGGGAGACCTTTATTTGCTGGGCTGAAAGGTAAATATGGGCAGGCTTCATCACCTAAGCCTTGCTGCAAGGGCAGTGTCACAACAGGTTGGGGTTACCTCATCTGCAGACCCCGTATGCTCCCAGGATGATCCTGACCAGGACAGGCAAGCATGGATCCCCACAGGAATCATTAGCCAGAGGGTGTTCACACACAGCAAATCCCGGTGTGGAGCCCCAAGCCTTGCTGCACACACCTGGTGGGATGGGAGGGCAGTGCTGCCCGTGCGGGGAGGCTTCCACAACAAACTGGGTTGGGAGGCTGAAAGGAGGGAGAGCAGATAGTATTTTCGAGGGAGTATGAGATAAGAGGAGGTGGAGTTTCCCGATAAAGAGGATTTCCCTGCTCAAATATCAAAGGATTCACACTAAGAAAAGGGGGGAGAAGGGGAATTACATCAGTCTGAGGCACACTTTCTCTTTTAAACTCTGACCTTCTATTGTCTGTCTTCTTGACTAGGATTTAAAAGCCCTTTGTTGGGCTGTGTTACATGGTGTGATCTAGAAAGCCGTCACAGACGAGGCACCGTGGGCTTTTGGCTGCTCCGATGCTCGGGCTCCCCCCGTGCCTACACTGGACTTTCAGGAGGCGTTGAGCCAGCTCAGATAAGTCAGCACTTTCCATCAACACCCCTTGGAAGCCAAGCTGCAGCTTGTGACGCCTCTTCCAGCATGTCCAACCGTCTGGTGGAGCTGGGCTTCACCCCAGCGCAGCTTCCAGACATGAGGTGGGCTGCTCATCATTCCAGCCCACTCTCACCTCCCCCCAGGTTCCCTCCAGGCTCTCCTGGCAGCGTCCTTCCCATCCCAAACACAAACAAATGGGTGAAGAGCAGATGACAGAAGCATAACAGATGCCTAAAATGGTTTAGAGTGATCTACGAGCATCTTTTGGTTATAATGCTCCATTAATGTGACATTTATGTGGGGTAATATAATACTGCTCGCTTAGGAGCACCTACACCAGCCAGTCAGGTTTCCTGGTGCACACGGATAAACAGGAGGGTTTCAGCATGTCCAGGGACCCTACAGATGGGAGTTTCAGGGGACAGGAGGCACCGCTGCCTAAAGGGGACATGTTGGGTCTATCCCTGAGGGAGCAGAGGTCAGTGGATATTAGTCAGGGAGAGGCTGGAGCAATGTCTCAAGAGGCAGAACTGGAGAGCTACAAATGGGGAAAAACCTGGCTTGGACCTATGGAGCTGAACACTCCCTCTCTGCGGAACGGGAAACGCGATACCCGAGCAAGGTCTGAGCCAGTCCCAAAGGCACAGCCTTGCTGTCATCTCAACACGAGCTGCAGCACAGCTCAAGCATCCCTCTGATTTTACAGCAGCCAGTGTTACACCCTGTAGCTAAATGCAGCCTTAATGTCACCCAGGCCTAACAAGGGCTCCCGTTTTGTTCCCCTGATTTATAAACACAGCGGCAATGGGCTGGAGATGGGACGGCCTCACAACCGCAAGCCTTCGTTATTCCCCACAAATGACTTGTTTGCAGCTTTTGAACTGCCTAATTTGTTTTGCCCCTACATTTTGGTCATTCATCTCATCTTTTCCTAATGGTGCTCTGAACACTGACACTTTGGGAAACGTCTCAAATGCTGTAACCCTCGCACGGCCCCGCGGAGGTGAAAGGACCAAGGGCAACTGCTGAATCTTCCCACAACAAGAGAGGGATCATCCATCTCCTCTTCCCTCCTCCTCACCCGCTGCCTCCACCCCGGGCACTGTTCTCATCTCAGCGTGTTTGAGTAGAACAAAAAACGAGGCCACGTGAAGCCATTTCAGCACCTCTGGATGTCGAAGGCCACAGACTGTACCCAGTGACCTGGAAGGTCCTCCCCAGACATTTGCTCCTACGGCTCTGCCTCTAAGAAAAAGCATCTGAGAAATCACGAGGCTGGCTGCGTTCAGACTGTGGCAGTGCCATTCAGAGAAGAAGGGGGGAAAATCAACTGGCACAGTCTGCATTTTGGGCAAATGGGGAAGGAATTAAATCAGAATCTGGAGTCTGATCAAAAACCCGATTCAACAAAATTCCACTCTTTTTGGCACTGTGTTTCAACACCTAGGTGCACGCTGGGTAGAAAATGAACAATCCAAGGCTTTTCACTTTGCATGCCCAGTAAAAGCAGTTGACAGGTTTCAGCATTTAGGAATAAATGCAGAAAGTATCAACAGTGTATTGTCACTAGCCTTTTGCCAGACACCAGGAAATCCAGAAGAGTCATCTAATGTCACAAGCAAAAAGCTGAGGACATAGCAAGTGTCACTGAAGGACAGGCAGAACAAACACAGAGCAAACTCCTACCAACAGATTAAATTCATGTCACGGTATTTTACCCCCATTTTGCACTACCCAGATACCTTGAAATACGTGCACGCAACCAGAGCCACGACACCAGACCTTTAAAGACGTGAGAGCCGCAGATTAAAAACATGTTGGAACGCTTACCGTGTCCAGTGCCAAAAATGTGTCTCTAACCTGTAGGAAGAAATGGGTGTGGAGCCACTCATGGAACGATCATTGCACTCACACAGCAGGGTACAAGGTTCCCCCTCTTTGTTTCTCCCTTTTAAGAAAAAACGGGGACTAAAATATGACTGAGGAGCTGTTTCACCTCTCTGAAATTTTTTGGAGAAGTACACAGAGCTGGATGGAAAAATGAGGTGGGAATCAGAGCAATCCCATGTGATTTGTGAAGACTAAAGCCACTTTGCCATGAACCAACATGAACAACTGATCTTGGTGCTTGGCTGAGCGCCGTGCTTGCTGCTTCTTTTTGGGGACTCCAGTCACCTCCTGAGTGGCACCAAAGCGCTGCGAGCAGATACAAAAACGTACACAAAGCCTAAAAGTATTTCCCTGGAATTGAAGCTCAATTTACAGCTCCCGAGACTGAAGGGTGTGTTTGAGCAGCCCTTTGTTGCAGGGTTTTGTCAAGGTATGTTCTGACTTGTCCCCTGCATGGTTGTGCAGTAATTCTTGATACTGATAGTCAATTACTTTGTCCACGTCACTCAAACACTGACTTTTTTTTCTGCTTTTTCTCCCTCTCAGCACGCTAATCCGGGAAAGACAACACAGAGTGAAACCACCACTTCAAAAGGCCAGTCCGGGCTGCCCTCCAGCCCTGCCAGGCACAGGTAGGAAAGCGACCTGCAGAGCAAAGAGCCCTCCTTATCCTTATCTCTCTTAAAATACCACTGGACCCAGGCTCCAAAACTTCCTTCCCGACTGGATAAGCACTTACCCAGGTAATCTCATTACAGCCATTGTTCTCCTAAGGTTAATAAATACTTACCATGATGAGTAAAGGCTCCGCAATCTGACCCCAGCGCAGCAGAAGTGATTGCTCAGGGCCAAATTTTCATACTCTTTATTATGCTGAACACCATATTCCTCTGCTAACAGAGCAGCCTTAGAACCAAAATAAATGTGACTGCTTGCAAATAAGGTGTTGGCCCCACTTCTGGCCTCAAGTTTTTATGTTGCCATCATTGTGATGGCTCTGAAAATTAGCAGAT